GCCCAGGTGGCACTGAGAACTGAAAAATGCCCTGGGGCAAGCAGTGTGTTCTGATTCCCTCTGCTCTTGGTCTCACATCCAGTCTCTCTCTACCGGCTCATGCCTCTTTCCACCAGCACCTTCATTTTCGTGCTGTGGGTCTGCACAGGCCTGTGTCCCCTCCATGCTCTCCCTTCAAATGCACCTCCTCAGATGCTGCTGCTTTGGCAGAGGGGAGGAGGAGCAGCCATGCTGGCAGGTGGGAGCACACTGGGCTCCAGTTGTGCACCATCAGAGGTGTGTAAGGGTCAGGACATCTCAGCAGTGCAAACTTTTCAGCTCCTAGGAGCCTGGGCCTTGGCACATCCCCACACAACATCCCTACTGTGTTCCTCCTATCCGGGGTGAGTGGCCATGGCCCTTCACCCAATCCCTTCAGTCTCCATCGAAGTTTTCTGCACAAGGAGCAGCCCAAGGGGCCAGGTGTAGTTCCAGAGGCGACATCCTGGGTGTCCTGCTTAGCTGCAGCCAGCACAGGCAGGTGTGTGACTGGCAGAGCCAAGCCAGCAGCACGGGGAGCTCTGTCAGCAGCCAAGGGAAAGTGCTGCAAGGCTTTCCTGAGGACATCCCTGAGCATGAGGACTTGGTGTTGTGATGCTTCGGAGGCAGAGGATGCACTGCATCCCAGCATCTCAGCTTCCTCTTTCTCTTTCCTCTTTCTCTTTCTGACCAAATTACCAAATAAGTAATTTTGCAAAGGAAGTGCATCAACATCTTCTCTGCAGCATCCAGGGGCATTTCATGACCAAGGCAGAACCTGGCAGGAGGAATGTCTTGGTTTGAAAAGCCAGGTGTCTGCTAGTGAAAGCAGGATCCTCCCTTGAAATGGAAAATGTCCCTCCCTACAAGTTATTATAATTTTAAAATTAAGGGGCTCTCAGGTAAAGAGATGGGAGTAGGAATAACAGTTATTTACTAGGAAAACTAAAAATACAAATGCAATAGTACAAAAAATAAACACTGCCAGAGTCAGTGCATGCCCTGAGCCCCTGTGGGTCAGGGAGGTGGCTCAGCCCCATCCCAGGGTGGCTCAGCCCTCCTGCAGTGCCAGCTGTGCTTCTGCTGGAGCAGGATCTGCACAAGGGGGGAGTTTTCCTCTGGAGCTCCAGGGCTGGAGAGATGGGCCTGGGCTCCTCTGGGAATGCAGGGGGAAGGAAGCTGCTCCTCTGGGAATGCAGGGGGAAGAAAGCTGCTCCTCTGGGAATGCAGGGGGAAGAAAGCTGCTCCTCTGGGAATGCAGTGGGAAGAAAGCTGCTCCTCTGGGAATGCAGGGGGAAGAAAGCTGCTCCTCTGGGAATGCAGGGGGCAAAGGCTGCTGTGCTGTTCCCAGGTCAGATTGGATCCAGGTAGGAATGCTTGGCTCCTCCCCTGGGCAGAGCATCTCCCCATGGATGATGGAATTTTCTCAGCCATGCAGGGACACACACTGGCCGTGAACAGAAGATAATTAATAATTGAAGAGATCTCGTGGAGGGAGGATTGGCTGTGGGAGAGATAAAGAAAAGTGCCCAATGAACAGCAGAGAGCTGACCCAGCTCTGACAGATGGTGACAGAATGCACAGCCCCATTTCCCACCTGAGACACTCTCCTCAGGAGCTCCTTAAGCTCCAAGACACCCAGATGTGAGAGGTGTCCTGCACACTGAGAGCACAGACACAGTCCAGCCTCAGGAAGTGTCTGCATGTCTGACAGCCTGTTACTCCAGCAAGAACCTGGTTTGTTTACCCTGGATCCTTCTGGAAGTTTCTGCAGACACCTTGCTAAGTGTCACGGTGCTGCTCATGCCAGGAATTGCTAAGCTCTGGCAGGGACAGGGGGAAGGAAGGGCAGTGTGTGGTGGGGCTGCCTCCAGGCCTTACAGATGTGTTCTTTCATCCCTCACAGGGCACAGAACAATTCCTCAGTCTATCCTCCGGCCACTGTAGGATCTGCAGGTGAGACACAGGTGCTGGTGGCCCTTTCTGCAGGATAAGGCTGTGCTGCTGCTGGCCAAGCCCAGAACTTTGCTCTGGAGCTTGGGCCCTCGGGTGGCACTGGCAGGTCTGTCAGGACTGCCCAGGGAAGCTGTTGTTCTGGCACACCTGCAAACACACGGGTGTGCACAGACGCACAGCTCTCCGTAGAGGTGACAGCACAGTCACCTCCGTGAGCTGCCTGGGGTGGCTCTGGCCAGAGCAGCCCTCGGAGCAGACACGGGGAAGTGTTTGGGGTCCGTGGGGCTGTTGGGGTGCAGCGGGAGCTGCTGCAGCGCAGCGGCGTGGGGGCTGAGGAGGAAGGAAGTGTGCAGAGCCCGGCAGAGCAAACAGGAAGAGCAGTGGGGATGTGTCAGCGAGGATGTGCAGTGCCCCACGGGCAGACCTGACCCACCTGAGCCAGGCCCCAGGGACCTGCGTCCCCAAATACAGCCCTGCCCTTCCCTGCTGGGGAGCGGGAGCCCACCTGTCCTGCCCTGAGGTACCCAGGGGTGCTCGTGGGCGCTGAGGGGTGTCCCCGCGTGGGCAGGGCTGGGACAGTGGGGTGGCACAAGGAGCACGCAGGCAGGCGCTGAGGGCGAGAGGCACTGAGCGAGAGCTGGCACATTCCAGGAGCGTGGGGAACGGCCGGGCCACGGCCTGGGCCAGAGGACAGCGGGCATGGGAGGATTCACCCTGGCTTCCTGCAGGGCCAGTGGGGCATGGTGCCCCCCAGCAGCCCCATGGCACCATGCCAAGCACGCTGCCTCATTCCTCCTGCCAGCCGCACGGCTGCTCTCGCCCACCCCTCCGTGCCCCATGGGCGCCGGCCGTGGGGTGCCACAGCGTGCCACAGCGTGCCACAGTGTGCCACAGCGTGCCATAGTGTGCCACAACGTGTCACAACGTGTCACAGTGTGCCACAGCGTGTCACAGCGTGTCACAGTGTGTCACAGTGTGTCACAGTGTGTCACAGAGTGTCACAGTGTGCCACAGCGTGTCACAGCGTGCCACAGTGTGCCACAACGTGTCACAACGTGTCACAGTGTGCCACAGCGTGTCACAGCGTGCCACAGCATGTCACAGCATGTTACAGCGTGTCACAGCGTGTCACAGCGGGCACCAGCACAGCCCAGCAGCCCCTTGGAGCCGCCCCTGGATCCAGCCCGGGGCCCGGCAGGCCAGGCCGGCCGTGCCCGCGGGCAGGCTGGCGGGGCGGGCAGGGCGTGCAGCAGAGCCGAGCTGCAGAGATGTGGCCGGTATGTGTGTGGGCAGCAGCCGGGGTGGGGGAGAAGGAGGGAGAGGAAGCAGCAGAGGCAGAGGCAGCAGCTCTTTGATAAGCAGCTTCCTGAACACTTTCAAACCGCGCTGTCAGGCCGACAGCATGGTGCCCGCGGGCCCGTGCCAGGACCGAGCTCCTCGCCGAGGGCAGCAGGTAGGCAGCGCCAGGCTGGACAGCAGAGCCTGGCCAGTGCCAGGCTGGACAGCAGAGCCTGGGTAGTGCCAGGCTGGACAGCCTGGACAGGAGAGCCTGGGCAGTGCCAGGCTGGACAGGAGAGCCCCAGGCAGCGCCAGGCTGGACAGGAGAGCCCAGGCAGTGCCAGGCTGGACAGCAGAGCCCAGGCAGTGCCAGGCTGGACAGGCTGGACAGGCTGGACAGGAGAGCCTTGGGCAGTGCCAGGCTGGACAGCAGAGCCCGGGCAGTGCCCGTGCAGGGGTGGTGGGCACGTGTGTGCGGATGGCAATGCCAGGCAGGCTGGGATGCTGGGCAGGCCATGCGAGAGCTCTCCTTGTGGGTGCTGGCAGCTGAGGCGCTTCCCTGGGCATCTCCCAGGTGTTTCCTGGCCACGCTGGGATGGGAGCACACACTGGCTGTCCCTGCTCAGCAGCTGCTCTTGTCCTGCCTGGACTGAGAACACCCTGCGTGGGGCACGGGGACGGTGTGAGTGGCAGTGGTGGCATTGTCACTCCCAGAAATGCCACCGGGCAGCAGGGAATCCTGGGGAGCGGCTCCTGCCCTCGCTGTGTTCCCAACCACCATGTGGACACCTGCTCTCCACAAGACCTCCCTGAGCAGATGGGCTGCCTGGGATCCTGCTCTTTGCCCACCGAGAACTCTGACTCTGCATCATTCGCTGCCTCCGTGGGTCTGGCTCCTCCTCAGGGAGGAAGCAGGGCATGAGAAGGAGGCTCAGGATCCCTCCATGGAAGCACAGGGCCTGTGTTCCCAGCCCTTCCCCAGCCCTGCCAGGGCCTGACCCGTGGCTAGTGATGGAGGATGTCTGGCACCTTCCCCAGCTGGCTGCCCCATGGCCTTTTGCTCAACCACCCAGATAAAGCAGTTTCCTCTTGACACTTGCTGTGACCTGCAGGATGGAAGAAGCCGTCCCAGGGTCGTGAGGCTGTTGAGGGTGCCTGGTCTGTGTGTCCCTGCAGCAGGAGATGGCCAGACTCCCTGCAGTGGCTACAGCCTCCTTGTGTCACCTGCTGAGCTGTCTGTGCTCAGACATTCCAGCTCTCACTGTTCCCCACCATGTCCCCAGGACGAAGCAGGGGCACGTGCTGGGGAAGGGCTGGGAACACAGGCCCTGTGCTTCCATGGAGGGGGAGAGCACCTGGGGCTCCCCCAGACCAGACCTGCCCTGCCACCACAGGGTGGGTGTCCTCCCCTCAGGGAAGCAGGTGGCCCTTGTGCCATGCCCAGGGTCACCAGTGTGGGCTGCAGTGCTGCAGGCAGCCCCGAGGGTGACTCTGCTGGGAGCTCTCCAGGATATCTCCTGTATCTCCTGGATACAGGGCTGGGGGTCCTGCTTCCAGGACTTGAAGTCCTGAGCACTTAGATCTTGCAGACCATGTGTGGGAGCTCCATCCAGCCTTGTGGTATCTCTCAGGTCTGATTTGCTTTTCCAGCTGCTTCTCCTCTGATGGCTCCAAGGTCTCCCAGGAGCTGAGAGCCCCCCGTGTGGCCCTGCTGTGCTTCAGTTTGAGGGCTCTGTGGTTGCTGCAGCATGGTCCAAGCCTGCTTGGTGTGCTCCAGAGTTCATAGGGGCAGCCTGGCAGCCCGGGCAGCTGCAGCGGACATGGACAAGCAGGACAAGCCCAGTCCCTCTGCCAAGAAGCACGTGCGGCTCCAGGAGAGGTGAGTGTTCCTCGGGGTGCCCGTGGCACTGCTCATCCCCAGGGCTCCCCAAACATTCCTTCCTGCCAGCCCTCTGCCTGCCAGCACCTGCAGGTGCCAGCTCTGAGTGTGGAGGCAGCCCTGGCCCCCACCCAGCCCTGGACAGATCCCGACACCTTCAGTCCTTCAGGGGCTTCCCAGCAGAAAGGCAAAACGTTCAGTTAATTCCTTGTTCCTCCCCGTCTGCTGGGGTCTCCATGTGGCTTTTGCTCAGTGTGGGGTGGTTTTACCTGGTGCTGCTGTGGGGTGGTCTGTCCTGCTGTCCCAGGGTGGCAGTAGGGCAGCCAGGGACCCCTGTGCCTTGCAGGAGGGGCTCCAACGTGTCACTGGTGCTGGATATGAGCTCCCTAGGGAACGTGGAGCCCATCCAGCCTGTCTGCACGCCACGGGACATCACACTGCAGTTTCTGAGGACGTCCAGCCACGTGCTGAGGAAGCAGGAGCTGCAGCAGCATGCCCAGAGCCTGGCACAGCTCCAGGAAGAGTTTTCGGTGCGATGATCACGATTTTCCTTCTCCCTCCTCACAGGAGGGGCAGCAGGGGCTGGCAGTGGTGGGACTGACAGGGGTGAACATGGGACTCTGAGCCCAGCTGTGCCCACAGCCCCAGGGGGAGGGCAGGTGGTGTGAGCAAACAGAGGGGAGGGGTGCCCACGTCCCACCTGCTCCTTGGTGTTCTGTTGGGGTCCCTGGAAAACCCTGTCCTGCCCTCCCATGCCATGCTCTTCTTCCAGCACTGCCTCTCTGGAAGGAGTCCCACCACAGCTGGAGTGAAGACAGGACTCATCCCAGGAGCTGGCAGCCCTGGTGGTGCCCCTGGGTCAGCTCTGCCCTGCTGGGCAGCCAGGTCTGCCACCACCAGGGGACACGAGTGGCAGCAATGGGCTTTTCCTCATGGCTGTTTTCTCCCCCTGCAGAAAATCCCACCCAACTTTGTGAGTCCGGAGGAGCTGGAAATCCCTGGACGTGCTTTCAAGGACAGATACAAAACCATTCTCCCCAGTACGTTCCACTGTGTCCCTTTGCCTGTGCTTGCCTGTGGGTGAGGGATGTCTCAGAGCAGCCCTGGCACTGGGGTGGGCACCCCTGGGTGCTGTTGCTGCTCCTGTGTGGAGCTGGGTGCCGTGTTCCAGGGGCACACAGAGCTGGGGGGTACATGGGGAGCTGCTCCAGGGCTGTCCTCCCCACGTGTGCAGCACTCGTGGGGCTTGGCATGGTCCTAAAGGCTGAGGGTGTTCTGGAGGGACTCGGCTGGGCTCCAGTCAGGGTCTGTGGGACGTCCTGGGGGATGACTGCAGGGGAGTTGCCCACCTGCTCACTATGGCACCTGCAGGTCTGGGCTGTGCCCTGCCAGGGGAGTGAGGCTGGAGTGGGACAAGAACAGGCCTGAGGGAGGGTGCAGACAGCTCTGGGCATGGCACGGAGCAGCAGGACTCACCTCCAGCCCCTGAGGTCGAGGCAGGGAGGCTGGGCAGGATCAGTCCCTTGGGTAAGACCTGTGACATCTTTCAGATCCTGAGAGCCGGGTCTGCCTCAGGAGGGCTGGCAGCCAGGAGGAAGACAGCTACATAAATGCCAACTACATCACAGTGAGTGTCCTCCCGGGGCCTGCAGCCCAGGGCTCCCAGGGCACCGGGCTGCAGGTGCCACACTGGGTCACACATGCTGGGGCACCCTCACCTGCTCCCCTGAGGCTGCCCTGGGGCAGCAGACTTCACTTGCCACACCTGTTGGAGCTGGAGGGATGTGGCTCCATCTGCACAGGGCAGATTCTTTGTTCCCGTGGTGGGAGAGCCTCAGGAGGGAGCTGCTCTCGGGTCCTGGGCACACTGAGCACCCCAAAAGGCTCCCATGCAGTGGCTTCTCCATCTCCTCCTCACACACTGGCCCATTGTCTGGCAAAGCCATGGGAGGCAAGCTGTGCCAGCAGGTTATGGCAGCTCAGAGATCCTCACACCTCACACATCCTGGGATTTCCTCTCTGCTCGGGGAGCTTGCTGCAATTTCCCAGGAAGGGAGCTAATGAAGATGGGGTGTGGTTTATTTTTGGCTCGTGGTGGGGCTCCTTTCCAGAAACTGAGAAATCCCCAGACCCTAGGGTGTTACTTAGACAACTTGGTTTTGATTCCATCCCTGTGCAAACCCTTCCAGGCTGTGGTTTCTGCCAGAATGGGATCCCGTGTGAGCCAGGTGCCAGCTTTGCCTGGCAGGCTTCCTGCTGAGTGAGTGATCTCACTGCAGCACCCTGCCCTTGGGCTGCCCAGGCTGTGGGTGCTGTGGGTGCCTGGCAGTGAGGGAAAGCAGGACTTGGAAAAGCAGCCCACCGAAAAGGCTGTCTGGGGTGACAGACAAACCCCTGGGATGTGGAGGTGGAGCTGGAGGCAGTCAGGAACGTTTCTTTTCTGATGGTGCCTGTGGCACAGCAGCAGCCAGCACGGAGGGTGCTCCTTTGAGACAGGAACGCTGTGCCCAGAGCTGCTGGGAGCTCCAGGGGCAGCTGGGCCACGGGCAGCAGAGGAGCTGTGTCTTCCTGAGGCAGCCTGGCATCTGCACATCAGGTGATACTGGCACTGTCCCTGTGCCCCAGGACGTGGGACACTCGGGGATGCTGGGCTTTTCTTTACAAGGTCTTTTAAGGCTAAGCTATTTAATTAAGAAATGACACCTACATTATTTTCATTTTAACTCAATAACTCAAATAATTACTCAAAGTCTGCAATGCGGGCTTTTTTGTCTAATTACAAAACACTACTAAAGCTTATGAAGAAGAAGGTGAAGAAGGACTAGTAAATGCTTTAAAATTTCTATTTTAGTCCTATATATATTATTGTATTCTAGAACTCAAAGTTTTCTACTTGGTGATATTACACACTTCTAACTAAACTATACATTCATAATCCCAGTGCTATCAATCAATTTTGGAAGCCTTCCCTATGGCCCCAGGTCAAACAGAGTGCTCCCCTGGGGGTCAGAGTCTGTCAGCACAGAAAGTGTAAAACTCTCAGCCTCCACAACTCCAACATCTCCCCCTCTTTTTGCATCCCCTCTGTCTCACCTGACTGCTGGCAATGCACAAGCACTGCCAGTCCCTGTGGAATACACACCTGCACACAGGTGTGCACACTGAGCACACCTGTGCCACACACCCCTGTGTGCAGCTGGCATTTCCTGACCCCTTCCTCCCCCTCGCCTCTTCAAAGGTGTAACGGTGCAGGAATTCATGGGCACATCAGAAAATTGGCAACCCAGCCTGCCTGGGCATGCCTGGGAGGCACAGGAATTTGGGAGGGCTCTGCAGGTGTTTGATCACATCAGCCCCGCCTGGCATTGATGCTGTTCCTGTTGATGGTGCTCCATGAAATGTTTTTGAGCATGGCTGTGGGGGGAAGGTGGAATTCCCAGGGTTGACACCCCCAAGTGAATGGAAAATCACATTTCCTAGGAAAAATAAATCATTTCAAGGTATGAAAGTAGGGCTCTGCGAAATTTTCCTGAAAACATTCCTGTCTCTTAGCTGGGCCAGTACAACTTTGGTGTGAGGCCAAACCATTAACAGACTGCTGGGAAGGCCTGGATTTTCTATACCTTTGGCAATTTTATACCAGGAGAAGTGTCTGGAGACAGAGGATGCCAGCTGTGAAGCAGGGATTCCTGCTTGTCCTTGTGGGAATGGCCACAGTGAGGAGCACAGCTCCTTGTGTGAGCTTTGCCTCGCCAAGGCACCCATCACGCTGATGGGATGTGCACTTGGGTGTGCAAGGCCAGCTGCAGGGACTCGCTCCTGGGTGATGGGACGAGTTGGGGGTGCACTTGGGTGTGCAAGGCCAGCTGCAGGGACTCGCTCCTGGGTGATGGGACGAGTTGGGGATGCACTTGGGTGTGCAAGGCCAGCTGCAGGGACTCGCTCCTGGATGATGGGACGAGCTGGGGACGATGCCTGGTGGCTCCTCAGCAGATCTGCAAAAGCATTTTAAGGACAGGTTTAGTAGGAAACAGCACGTGTAGCTCAGCCTCTAAACCGTGGAGGGGAAAAGCGTGGCGAGGGCTGGAGGGAGCTGGGGACAGCCCCGGTGGCCCCAGGGTGGCCCCAGGTTGGTCCCAGGTGGCCCCAGAGTGGCCCCAGGGTGGCCCAGGTGGCCACAGGGTGGCCCCAGGTGGCCCCAGGGTGGCCTCAGGGTGGCCCCAGGTGGCCCCAGGGTGGCCTCAGGGTAGCCCCAGGGTGGCCCCAGGGTGGTCCCAGGTGTCCCCAGGTGGCCCCAGGGTGGTCCCAGGTGTCCCCAGGTGTCCCCATGTGGCCCCAGGTGGCCCAGGTGTCCCCAGGGTGTCCCCAGGTGGCCCCAGGTGGCCCAGGTGTCCCCAGGTGTCCCCAGGTGGCCCCAGGGTGGCCCCAGGGTGGTCCCAGGTGTCCCCAGGTGTCCCCAGGTGGCCCCAGGTGGCCCCAGGGTGGCCCCAGGGTGGCCCCAGGGTGGCCCAGGTGGCCCAGGTGGCCCAGGTGGCCCTGTCCCCTGACGGGCTGTGCTCGGCAGGGCTACGCGGGGCGGCCCCGGGAGTACATCGCCACGCAGGGACCCCTGCTGAGCACCGTGAGCGACTTCTGGCAGATGGTGTGGCAGGAGGAGGCTCCTCTCATCGTCATGATCACCGAGCTCCCGGAGCGCAAGGAGGTACCACCGAACATGCCCCGCCCAGGGGTGCTGCTGGCAGCGCAGGGTTGTGTGAGGCCACATGTGGGGCTGTGCACCCACTTGTGCTTCTGTCTCCGAGGGTGCCCTGCTGAATCACAAGTGGAGGAGGAGATGCCCGGGGCTGCAGCCTTGGCCCCGTCTGGCAATATTCCTCCTCACGTGGCTGTGTGCTCTGGGCAGCTTTACCAGCTGGGTAATGGGAGAGAGGGTTTAGGGCAACCCCCAGGGATGGGGGAAAGCAGTGGGCAGCAGTGCCCCTCTGGCTCCCCAGAGCTCTCCCCTGGGCTGGATCCCCTGGCTGAGAGCTCTCAGCCTAGGGGAGAGCTGGGGGGCCAGGGGGGCACTGCTGCCCACTGCTTCTGCTTCTGGGATGGGAGCCAACAGCACCTGCCTGGGGCAACTGAGAACTGGAAACTTTCCTGGCCATGTCCTTGCTCCCTTCTCCCCCAGCCGACAGCCTCCCTGTGCCCTGGGTCCAGCTGCATCTGGAAGCTTCCTGGGCTGAGCAGGGATATGCACCCCTGGGGCCTGAAGCCAGGGCAGGGCATGGGAGAGGATGCAGGGCAGCAGATGCAGGGGCAGGGATCTGTCCCTTCTTTGCTTTCCCTCTGTATCACTCTGCATCCACCTACCCCTCTCCCCTAGCACCCCTAAGGTGCTGCCCCTTCCCAAGAACACTGACTCAAGCCCAGTTCAAACATCCAGTGGGTGCATTGACCATCTCCACAGCCACAAACCTGCCTTGTTCTCCAGAAATGTGTCCACTACTGGCCCGAGAAGGAGGGCACCTATGGCCCCTTCACCATCCAGGTGCAGGGGGTGAGTGAGTCTGTGGAGTACGTGGTGCGGGACCTCTCCATCCAGGTGGGTCTGAGCCTCATCCTGGGGGCACAGAGGGGGCACGCTGGGGCCCAGCAGTGCCCCTGACCCCCCTGGGATCTCTAGTGGGATGGCAATGCCCCGTGGCAGGAAAGAGGAGGGTTCATGATTCTCAGGAGGCCCCTGCCAGAGGAGGGGTGTGCAGAGCCTGGAGAGGCTGGGAGGGAGCAGGAGGCAGCCCTGGGGTACAGGGGAGAAGGGGTCAGCTGGGCAGAGCAGCGCCAGCCCAGTGTTTTTGCACTGTGTCGTTGGGCCCTGGCCCATGGGCTCTCTGTGTCACCCTGGGCTGACACCAGCCTAAAGGGTCTGCCTTGCTTTGCCTGCACTCTGGTGGCAGCATTGGAACCCTCTGCGTGTGTTCTCATCCTCTGGCATGGGGCACAGCCATTGTCCCTGGCCCGGGGGTCTCTGCCTCATGTCTGGCAGAGGTCAAAGAGGGATTCAGGAGGAGAGTGGCTGAGATGGGTACGGGCTGCTTGACCTCTGCTTGGGCTGAACTCCCCGTTTCATTTGGCCCGTGCCCTCACATCCCCATTTCTCTTTGTTCCGTGCTGGAAAAGCTTGGGAAGGAAAGCCGCAAGGTCAAACACATCCTCTTCCCTTCCTGGCCGGACCAGCAGACACCCGAGTCAGCCAAGCCCCTGCTGCGCCTGCTGTCCAAGGTGGAGGAGGCTCTGCAGACTGCAGCCAGCCCAGGGCCCATCGTGGTGCACTGCAGGTAAGAGCTTGCAGCTCCCCTGAGCCCTGTCTGTGCTTCTCCTTGGGGTCAATCCCACACGAGTCCTCACACAGGTCCCACGGTGGTGCAGAAATGTGCAGCCACCCTCCAGCAGAGCTGCCAATCTGCAGCTCCTGTCCTGGCAGCAGGATGGTGGCACGAGAGCAGCATATCCTGCACTGGGGTCCAGCAGGGAGGGAGCAGGAGGGGTCTGCATTTGGGACCAACACAGCTCCAGCTCTGGAAGATCCTGCTTGAACAGGGAGATGGAAGCAGGTGACCCTGTGGCTGGTCCCTTTGAACCTGACCCGTTCTGTAATTCTGTGATTCCTGCTCCCTGTGCCACCAAGCACCACCTGTGGCTTGGATGTGGAGCCTTGTTTCAGGACAGCCCTCCTGCAGGAGGTGGCCTCTGCCTGTTCTCTCCTTGCTGAGTGAATTTGGGGACAGTGGAGCAGAGCACTCGTTTGTCCCTAGGGAATGTGCAAAGCTGGGGTTAGAGCCCAGCTGGGAGGGAGGGGGCTGCAGGGCCCCCTGCACTGCACAGGGTGGGCACAGACTGGTTTTGTGCTTCCAGAGCAGCCTCAGCCAGGCTGTGCCACATGGCAAGGACTCCTTGCCGTGGCAGAGTGACCCCAGCCCGAGGCTTCTGTTGCCTGCCTAAGAAGCTTGGTCTGGCAGCTGGGGCCAGGGCCCAGCATCCCCCTAGGAAGAAATGCCAGCAAACCAATGCAGGAGTGCACCCAGCTCAGCAGTGTGAGTGCAGGCAGTGGTGCTGTGCGTGCTCACCCAGCTGTGTCTGCCCTGCAGCGCGGGCATCGGCCGCACCGGCTGCTTCATCGCCACCAGGATCGGGTGCCAGCAGCTGCAGGACAAGGGGGAGGTGGATATCCTTGGAATCGTGTGCCATCTGCGCATAGACAGGTGGGTACACGGAGCAGGTGGCTCCTGGGAGGGTCCTGCTGGGTGCCAAGCCTGAGAGCAGGGCTTGGCATGGATGTGGCAGAGACATGGGGAGGGCATGGGGACTATTTCTGATAGAAACCAGAAGGGTGGCTGGGGGATGCAGGTGTGTGGATACAAGCAATCCCCAGTGCCAGGCTGGTTCTGCAGTCAGAGCTTTTGTAGCTCTGACATGAGGGAGAGGAGAGGGGCTGTGAACCTGGCAGCCATCTGCTCCTCCCTTCCAGCTCCACCACGAAATCCAGAAACACTCCACCTGGCCACTTTTCAAGAAGTACAGGTGAAAATTAGCACCAAATCAGCTGCTAATCTCGTTTTGAACAGCCCAGCAATGCTTCTGAACGCCTCTCTCCTTTGGGCTGCTCTGGTGCCTGTTTCAGAGGCATCTCGACATGGCTGGTGAAGCGGGAATATTTGTGCCCTGGGAGCAGGGTTCTGTGTCTGGTGAAGTGTCAGTGGGCCCTGCCTTTCCCTTGCAGAGGTGGGATGATCCAGACGAGCGAGCAGTACCAGTTCCTCCATCACACGCTAGCTCTCTTCGCTTCCCAGCTGCCGGAGGGGGCAGGCTGCTAGTGCAGGGCTCCCACCGGCCTTGTGGCTGCCTGCTCTGACCTCCCCTGCACCAGCCTCGGGGATACCTTCATCAAAACCTCTCCTGATGCTGCCAGGCCACAGAGCAGCAGCGTGGACATCCCTCGGGATGAGTACAGCTGAGCCAACCCACGGCCACTGTGGCTTTGGACGCTGGGGATGAGCAAGGTGAGGTGCTGCACTGGGTGCTCGAGGTGGCCACTGCTGCTGGCTCCAGGCAGATTTCACCCATAGAGAGCAGCTCTGGCTTTTGAGAGGTGCAAGATCCTGAACCAGAAGAGCAAGATGTGCAGAGGATCTGCAGCTGGCAGATGCTGGAAGCTTGGTTTCCCTTTCAGCTGCAGACAAATGTCCACCCTGTTAGACACAGCACTGGTGGAACTACCCTGAAATAAATGGAGTCTCTGTCCTGGCTGTGCATCCTTTGTGGGCAGGGCTGGGCTTGCTCCAAACATGCACCACAAAACTCTTCTTGCTAAAGACACACCTTGATGGCTTCGTGCACGGTTGGCTAACGGCGTTCCACAGCTTGCTTTCCTCTCCACCTTCAGCCAACACCTTCTCAACAGCCTTAAAGTACAACCATAGAGTTATTAAGGTGGGAAAAGACCTCCAAGATCATCGAGTCCAACCTCTGATCAGACCCCACTGTGCCCACTGAACTGTATCATGAATTGCCATATATATTTGTTTCTTGAGCACCTCCAGGGATGGTGGGTGTACCACCTCCCTGGGCAGCCTGTGCCAGTGTCTGCCTACCCTTCAGGGAAGAAATTCTCCCCAATATCCAACCCAGACCCCCCCTCTCTCTAGCAGGGGAGATTCCCAAGTGCAGTTTGCAAGTGATGTGTTCCCAATTCCCTTTTGTTACATGAGGGTGGGGATTTTGAATTCTTGGGGTTTTTTTCTGAAATCGGAACAAAACAATATTTGGGTTTTATAAGGTTGTCTTTGTAACTGATAAATCCAGGGGGAGAAAAATAGGAGACAGAAAAATATTTTGTCGTAAATCATGAGGATGGAAATACTCTGTGAAGGATTTTGAAGTACTGTGCAGGTATTCAAACTGCCCTTGCCAATGGGCATTGGACACCCACTTGGGCAGTGAGGGCTGGGAAGGAGATGGGATCTGCCCAGTCTGTGCCCATGTCCTAGGCCCTGACATGACCCAGAGTGAGATCCAGGGAAAAAGGCTCAATCTTCCTGCTGAACGAGGCTGAGCTTGCCTGGGCTCCCTGAGCTTCCCCAGCTCAGGGCTGTGTGCATGACCTACCCCTTCACCACTCCATGGGCCCCCAAAATGCAGCTGAATTGCTGCCCTGTGGTCTTCCCTGTCCACATCCCTCCCCTGGCACCAGGAACAAATCTGCTTCCTGGCCCAGCAGCAGGAAAAGGAGCAGATCTCAAGTAACATCTTTTCACCTGCTGCATTTCCATCACCCTGGCAGAGAAATCCCCCTGCTCTTAGTGCCATTTCAGCCCTTCCTCTTGCCCCAGCCTGCCCAGCCAGGTGCTTTGGGGGAGAATTGTGTTCTTTGTGGGATTCCTGTGTGATGCTTGGGTACTTGGAGGGGCTGTGGAACTTCTGCAAGCTCCCTGCAGGTCAGTGCATGGCTCAGGACTTTGTCTTTTCAGGGAATTTGGTGTAGCACTGTTGCCTTTAATGGTGTCTCTGAGACAACCATAGAGTTTGAGTTGTGAGACAGGCTTTCTTCAGCATCCCCTTCCTCAAGTCTTTCCTCACCTGTCGGAATCTGAGGTGTTGATGATTCTGAGATTGTAAAAGTCTCTGTCTGTCAGCCCCCTGCCAAAGCAGAAGCCATAATTGGTCTGTGCTGGTTTCCAGGTTGTTTATTCTGTTGATCTCTCACATGTTCTGCTGCCCTGCCCAGCTCTGTCCTGCAGGGCAGCGTGTGGGGCTCTGCCCTCAGTGGGATGTGACAAACATTAAATACCAGAAACTCCCTGGGCTGCATTTACAAGAACGTGCCAATATCTGTCACCTACGTTGGACAGTGTGTCCCCAGCCTGAACCAACAGAAAAATGCCAACACCACAGTGAGACATGGAGGGCATGAAGAAGGAGAAAAAGGAAAAAACACACTCAATTTCTTCTATCTTGTTCCTTTTGAATTCTTAATCTAGAATCCAAAAATTTTACTTTTGCACCCGTGCCACACTTAATTATGACTCATATCAAGCACTCAGAGCTGGTAATTCACCCTGTAAGATTGAAAACTCTTTTCCATGGACAGAGATCACAGCCAGTGTCTCTGGGGGCTCTGTCCAGGGGGGTTCCTGACCCCTGCCAGGGTCCCAGACCTGCCAGGGCAGCCAGAGGGAAGCTCTGCTTTCCCACACTCACCCACTGCCATCAGGCAGGAGAAGTTGAAGGCTTGCAAACTGCACCTGGACAGTTTTCCTGCCCTCCCTGGACAGCAGGACACACACACTTTCCTCACACGTTCAGTTTGCTGTCCAGAGGAGAGCTCAGGGCAGGCTCAGGCCAAGGGCTGCACGAGGCTCTCCCAGGGCATGGAGAAGCAGCAGCAGGGTCACAGCTGGGCCAGGCGTGTTGTCACCTCCTCCCAGAGTCCCCACCAGGTGCTGGGAGTGTTTCCAGCCCAGGTGTCTGATGCAGATGCTGGTCAGTTAAACATGATCAGATTATGATCAGTTGAGCAGGTTTCCTGCCTTTTGATCTCATTTTTTACCAGCTCCATCACCTGGCCCCTGTGTGAGTTCTGTCCATCCTCTGCTCTGACCCCTGGGCAGTGCTGGGGGCTGTGCTGAGCCTCGCCTGTGTTACTGCCAAGCTCTCCTGGCCTCAGCCCACGCCAGGGCTGCAGCAGGGTTTGTGCAGGCACACAGTTCGTGGTAGCTGGGATGGGGCTGTGCCCAGAGCCTCATCCCAATGGGTCCAGCTGTGAGAAGCAGGTGAGCAGCACTGACAGCAATGAGACACGGAGTGCCCAGGTGTGCTGAGCACTCACACAGGGAGCAGAGGGCACACAGGGGCACTGCATGAACCATGGGGGTATAAAAGGCTGGGCTGAAGAACAAGAAGGGCTCATGCTTGAAGCCTTCAGAAGCAGTGTGGTGTTGCTCTGTTTGGATTGAAGCCTTCTGCTATTGTATGGTGCCACTCTGTATTGTGGCTGTCTCAGCTGTGACAGGTTTGATCTGCTCTGGCTGTGTCCTGAGAAACCCCCTCACCTGGTCCATGAAGAGCACAGGGTGCTAGAAGAGGAAAGGAATCTCTCTAAAATCTCGTGCTTCCCCATGCCCTGGGCTAGCATTAAGCCCCTGAACTTGGGTCAGCACAGCCAAGATCGCTGCTGTTCCTCACTCCCCCCTGAAACCCCAGGTGGGGTCCCAGCTGTCCTTACCCTTCCCGTGGTGTTCCTGTGTTCCACGGGAGGTACAGCCCAGGCAGGCAGAGCTGGGGCCCTGAGCTGCAGCACCCTGAGGGCCCCAGGAGACCAGCTCCTGCCCAGGGCTCAGGAGAAGTCCTTCCTCCACAGAATCATAAAGCAGTTTGGGTTGCAAGGCCATCTGTTCCTAACCCCCTCCACTCTCCCAGGCTGCTCCAAGTCCAGCCTGGTCCTGGGCACTTGCAGGCTTGGGGCAGCCACAGCTTCTGTGGGCAGCCTGTGCCAGGGCCTCACCACCCTTAGTGAAGGATTTCTTTCTTACATCTAAGAAAATATATTAGGTATGAAGTTATGAGATCCTGTTCTATGCACATGACTGCAATTTTGGCCTGGGGTTTTCCAGGCTGGTAGTCCATTCCCTCCCCTTGCAACAACTCACTGGGATGGGAGGAACAAAACAAGGTGGCCACGTGGCACACATCATGTTGTGGCACACATCATGATGTGGCACACACCAGCTTTGGTGGTGGTAAGTAGACCCAGAATGCTCCAAATTTACCTGCAGCTGGTGGAAAGATTCAATGCCATCAAACAGAGCACTGCTTCAGCAGGTCCTTGGAAAGGCAGAGTGTGTGCCAAAATCCAGCATTTTGAGTAATTAGTAGTAGCTTTGCTCTTACTTGTTGGAGCAACCATAGGCTCCAACAGCACCTGTGGACTCCAAGTTATCAGCGACCAAGCCATGACCTGGAAAGGAGACATTTCAGGGCATGCTTTGACATTTCCAGGCAGCACTGGGGTCCCAGCATCTCAGAAGGCCCCATGAGAGCACCTGCAGCAGGTGGGACCCCACAGAGGATGAGCCCCACAGCAGCACCCACCCAGAGAGAGCCAGGGGCTGGGAGCACCAGGAACAGAGGGACGTGGCACTGACAGCTCTTTGTGCTGGTCCTGGGTAAACCAGGGTTAAATTCAGCCAGGGGAGCATGAGGAAAAGCCTCTCCTTACCCACGTGGGCTGGCACAGCCCTGACCTCTGTTTCCTTAAGGAATTTGGTTGAGCAACCACATCAAAGCCTCCTGGGAATGTCAAACATGCTCTGGAGAGCTCTGGGGGTCTCAGGTCTGGAGAGGCCCGGGGGTGGTGCCAGCTCTTGCACAGGACTCTGCCCCATGGACACCATGGGGACACCATGGGGACAGTGCTGCAAGGGTGCAGCCACTGGGACCAGATCTGCTGTGTGCACCCCTGCATGAGCCACCGGCCCCTCTGCAGGGAGCAGAGCTTGGGACCCTGCTTCAAACCAGTGGGAAACAGCCAAATATCCCCAAACCTGTCAGGGCTGACTCCCCTTGATGGGAGTAAGGGAAATAGAGTGGCTGGAGTGGGGATAGTGCATGAAAATGATCTTTTTTGCTCATTTGTTCATGCCTCTCCCAGTGTGGGGATGGTCAACAACTGAGCTGGGGTCCCTGCTGTGAGGGGTGAGCTTGGTTTGAGCACTGGATGGGCAGTGTCTGTGGCAGGACTGCAGGAACACCCAGGGGCAACCTCTAACAGCTTCAGTGCTACAGGAATGCTGGGGGAAGCTCCAAACTGGTGTAGGGACATTCTTTGGGCTGGAATGCTTATGAAAAATCTGGTTTCCCCCCGTATTTGTGAGGCCCCACCTCAAATGCTGGGTAGAGTTTTGGGCCCCTCATGAAAAGAAAGTGCTGGAGCATATCCAGAGAAGGGACTGGAGCTGGGGAAGGGTCTGGAGCACCAGGAGAAGCTGGGAAGGGGCTCAGCCTGGAGAACAGGAGGCTCAGGGGGGACCCTGTGGCTCTGCACAGCTCCTGACAGGAGAGGACAGCCAGAGGGGTCAGGCTGTGCTCCAGGGAACAGGGACAGGAGGAGGGGAAATGGCCTCAAGATGCACTGGGGGCAGATTAGATTGGACATTAGGAAAGATTTCTTCACCAAAAAGAGTGGCCAGGCCCTGGCACAGGCTGCCCAGGGCAGTGGTGGAGTATCCATCCCTGCAGGACAATGACTTGGGTCATGGTTCAGTGGTGACCATGGCAGTGCTGGGATAATGGTTGGACTCAGTGATAACAGAGGTAATTTCTCATCTGAACAATCCTCTGATTCTATGAAAAAAAAAAAAAAATCTTCAAGCAGAAATTACATTTGGGGGATGATGAATTTTTCGCTGGTGTGAGGAGCTCTGAAGGGGTGATTGCAGAAAATATTTCTGCTTCCTCAGGCCTCCCTTCGGGAGCACAGGGATCTTGAGCAGGCTGCAGCAGCTTGGAAAGCAAAAAGCTTTGTCTCCAAAAATAAAGTCAGCTTCCCCGTGACTTATAGCACATGAGGGAAACTTGCCCACCGTTAACTGTCGGGGGCTGTGAGGTGAGCTGAACCCCAGCCCCAGCCCAGGTTCCCGTTTCCTGTGCACACACATTTGCCTCAGGCAGCCCCAGCCGTGGATTCAGCACTTTGTCTCTCAGGAGAGCAGCCTCTGCTCTGGGCTGTGCCCAGCACTGCTGCAGCAAAGGAGGGCACTGCAAACAGCCTGCTGCGTTAGTCCTGCCTTAGGCCTGGCTCAAACCCCCGAGGGTGCAGGGAGCCCTGTTGGTGTGGCACAGCCTGGGCGCCCAGCAGGGCTGGGGAGCACAGCGGAGCCAGCACACACCCGGGGGCAGCCCAGCAGAGCTGGGCAGCGCCAAAGCAGGGGGAGTGTGAGGCTGCAGGGCCCAGCCTGGTGGCTGGGGGCTGCTGTGGCAGCGGGCTGGCTGGAGGTCTGACAGGAGCATCCTTCGAGGGAGCTGTGCCTTTGCCTTGTGTCTCCTTCTCCAGGTGGGAGCTGTCAGCTCCTGGGGGCTCCTGGCACCCCCTACACCCCGGTGACACCCTGGCTGCTGGCCCCCAGCTCTCCTGCACCCCCAGTTCTCCTGCACTGATCACACCCTGCACCCTCAAGTACCCCAGGACCTCTGCAAGCCCTGCACCCCTGCATCTCCCCCGCCAGCACTGCCCACACTGCCCACACCTCTCAAACACCTGCACCCCCAGCACCCCTGCAGCCTGCACCTGAACCATCCCTGCACCTCTGCAGCCTGTACCTGAACCATCCCTGCACCTGAACCATCCCTGCACCTGTGCAGCCTGCACCTGAAACAACCCTACACCCCTGCAGCCTGCACCTGAACCATCCCTGCACCTGTGCAGCCTGCACCTGAACCATCCCTGCACCTGAACCAACCCTACACCCCTGCAGCCTGCACCTGAACCATCCCTGCACCTGTGCAGCCTGCACCTGAACCATCCCTGCACCCCTGCAGCCTGCACCTGAACCATCACACCAACATCACCTGGGGAAACTGAGGCCTGAGGCACCAGCTCAAGGCACAGCTCCAAAGCCACCAAAGCAATGACTGGCCCCTCACAGAAGGAAGCAGCAGGTGCATGAGATCCTCTCTGTGCCCGTGGAGCTCCCATTGCAGCAGGGTGCACCTCCCTCAGGGCTGGACCCCCAGGAGCCCCCTCACCCACGGGTGCTCCCCGGGCCTCAGGAGCCAGGGTTCCTGCTGGGGCCACCCACCCCTGGCATTACCCTGCCACACCCCCCTTTGGGTGCACCTGCCACCAGCCCCGGGCACGGGGCACCCATGGCCAGGGCAGCTCCTGCCTTGGCTGTGGCCAGGTGGCTGCACCCAGGGAGGCACTGGGAGTGCACGGGGGGCACTGGGGTGATGGAGGTAGGGGTGCTGGGTGCAGATGCCCAGCACGGGAGGCACTGGGGTGATGGAGGTGGGGGTGCTGGGTGCAGCAAGCACCCGGTGAAGAGGTGCTGGGAGCACAGGAGCACGGGCTGGGGGGATATTGGGGGTGCAGGGGGCACGGGGGGAAGGCTGCAGGGGAACTGGGGTGCAGGGGTGTCGGGGTGCAGGGGTGGCTCGGCTGTGGGATGTGCAGGGCTGTGGGGTGCAGCGGTAGGAGGGTGCATCCCCCCTCCCTCGGGCCGTACTGTGATCTGAGGAGCCCGGGGCTACCGGGGGTCGGGGATGCCGGCAGTGACCAGGGCAGGGCTATGGGATATTCCGGCTGTCCGGGCTGTCCGTCTGTCTGGCTGTCCGGCTGTCTGGTCTGTCCAGTCTGTCCGGGCTGTCCGTCTGTCCCTCTGTCCGGCTGTCCCTCTGTCGGGCTGTCCCTCTGTCTGGCTGTCCCTCTGTCCGGCTGTCCGGACTGTCCCTCTATCCGGTCTGTCCCTCTGTCGGGCTGTCTGTTTGTCCGGCTGTCCCTCTGTCCGTGCTGTCCGGCTGTCCGGCTGTCTGGTTGTCCGTCTGTCCCTCTGTCCGGGTTGTCCGCCTGTCCCTCTGTCCGGCTGTCCCTCTGTCCGGGCTGTTCCCCTGTCGGGCTGTCCCTCTGTCCGGGCTGTCCGTCTGTCCCTCTGTCCGGGCTGTCCGGCTGTCCGGCTGTCGGGCTGTCCCTCTGTCCGTCTGTCCGGGCTCTCGACCTGTCCGGTCTGTCCAGCTGTCCGGCTGTCCGGCTGTCCGGGCTGTCCCTCTGTCAGGCTGTCCGGCTGTCCCTCTGTCAGGCTGTCCGGCTGTCCGTCTGTCCGGCTGGCGCGGTGCAGCGGCTCCTCCAGGCCGGCAGGGGGCGGTGCAGCGGGGCGGGGGAGGCGGCGCGCGGGCCCCACCCGGTGCGGCAGCAGGGCCCGCGGCGCGCGGACAATACCGGCGGCGGCTCGGCCTCCTTCGGCCCCGCTCGGCTCCGCTCGGCTCCGCTCGGCCTCCTTCGGCTCCGCTCGGCCTCCTTCGGCCCCGCTCGGTCCCGCTCGGCCTCCTTCGGCCCCGCTCGGCCCCACCCCGACTGGCCCCGCCCCGCCTCGGCCTCGCTCGGCTCCGCTCGGCCTCGCTCGGCCCTGCCCTGCCCGGCCCGGCCGCGCTCGGCTCGGCCCGGCCCAGCCCCGCTCGGCCCGGCCCGGCCCGGCTCCGCTCGGCTCAACTCGGCCCCGCTCAGCGCGGCCCGGCCCGGCCGGCACCATGCTGGCGCTCTTCAACAAGCTGCTGGACTGGTTCCGGGCGCTGTTCTGGAAGGAGGAGATGGAGCTGACCCTGGTGGGGCTGCAGTACTCGGGCAAGACCACCTTCGTCAACGTTATCGCGGTGAGCCCGGCGACGCCCCGAGGGGTCACCTGCCCACCCAGGGCTTCACCCTTGGACCCCCGTTGCGTCCCCATTGTACCCCTATTGTATCCCCATTGCACCCCATTGTACTCCCATTGCATCCCTATTGCACCCCACTGCATCCCCATTATATCCCCATTGCATCCCCATTGTAATCCCATTGCACCCCATTGTAACCCCATTGCACCCCACTGCATCCCCATTATATCCCCATTGCATCCCCATTGTAATCCCATTGCACCCCACTGCATCCCCATTATATCCCCATTGCATCCCCATTGCACCCTACTGCATCCCCATTATATCCCCATTGCATCCCCATTGTAATCCCATTGCACCCCATTGCACCCCACTGCATCCCCATTATATCCCCATTGCATCCCCATTGTAATCCCATTGCACCCCATTGTAACCCCATTGCATCCCCATTGCACCCCACTGCATCCCCATTATATCCCCATTGCATCCCCATTGTAACCCCATTGCATCCCCATTGCACCCCACTGCATCCCCATTATATCCCCATTGCATCCCCATTGTAACCCCATTGCACCCCATGGCGTCCCCACTGCATCCCCGCACCTTCTACGCCCCCGCTGCATCCCCACTGCATGTCCCCATTGCACCCCTGGGTATTTCTCAGAACGTCTCCGCCCCATCGCGCCCCAGCCTGAAAATGCCTTTGGGGAGGGGGTGCAGGCTGGGGGTGCGGGGTTCAGCAGCGGGGTGCAGGGTGCGGTGCAGGGTGCGGTGCAGGGTGCAGCAATGGGGTGCAGGGTGGGTGCAGGCCCGGGCCGTTCCAGGCAAACCGCATCCCCGGGGCCGAGGGAGTGCTCGGGCCGCAGCCGGGGCAGGCCCGGGCCGGGCCGTGCTCCGCGGGCGGTGCCGGTGCCGGGCCGGGCCGGGCCGGGCCGTGCCGCCGGGGCACTGCGGGAGCTCCGGGGCGCTTTGTCATCCTCCGCGCCGCCGGGACGCGCAGTGGGGCCTCATGCGGACCCCGGCGGGCTCGGTGCCCCGGGGCCCCGTGCCTGGGGGCCGGTGTGGAGGTGTGTGCCCGGCGCCCTTCCCCGGCAGCAGCGCGCTGGGGGCGCCGGCGGCTCCCGCAGCGGCGGCCGAGCGGGGCCGGGCAGGGCGCACCCTGCATCCGGCAGCGCATCGGGAGCTGCGTGCCCTGGATCCCGAAGCCAGGGCGTGGCTTCACCCCTGGGGATGCTCGGCACTCGCCCCTCTGCCTTTTCGGGTTGTTCTCGCCCTGTCACTAGTGATGGTGCAAGGCGGGAGGATCCTGAGGGGGTGGGTTTGGGCTGTTGTCCCCCGAGGGTTTCATGGAGGGTGGCGGATGCAGATCCGCCCTGCTTCCCCCACTGGCCCCTGGTCCCTGGTTGCGCCGAAGTCCGTGCCTGCCACGGCTCCAAAGCAGAGCGAGTTGGTGCTGGAAGCTGCTGGAGCTCATATGGAGGCTTTATTGCACTGCCCTTTGGGAGGTGCTGAGGGACGAAAATGTCCTTCCTGAAGTGTCTAGGGACAGAGAAAGGACACCCTAAAATACTTTTCATCGTGGAGATGATGGCGCTCCTGCTCTCAAGCCGTTTTGCTGGAAGTCACTTCTTAGTGCTCCAATCTCCTGCTGGTTCCCCCCATAAACCAACACCAGTGTCTGGGGACAGGGAGCATTTTGGCTTTAGGGCAGTGACCCTGAGTACCAATCCTATTTTTGGGGGACCTCTCCCTGCCACTTGCGTGTTTAATAGTCAATTTTTGTAATCCCATGCCAGGGTGGGATGTGGTGGTGCCACGTGTGAGCTGCTCCTGCTCTTGATCTGCTGGGTGCTGCTGCCTGTTTACAGCACCCAGGCTACCTTAAAAATGGCAAAGTAATTTAGTGTTGGTTTTAATCACCCGCTTAAGCTGTGAAGGGTGATGGAGTTTTATCCCAGACCTGCTTCACTGTTCTGCCTCGCAGGGCTGGAAACCCCAAGGGTTGGTGTTCCTCGGTTCCCTGTTCCCCACATGCCTCCTCCTCTCCCAGCCACATCTGGGGCAGACAGGGCTCAGTGTGAGCTTTGTGGGATTTACTTCTGTGAGTAAAATACTTTGTACCTGGCACTGTAACTGTGGGCAAGACCCCACTGGCAAGGCCCATGCACTGGGACTCTCTCTACTTAGTCAGGATTGCTGGTGTAGGGAAAAGGAACTTTGAGGAATTGCAGCAGCTCTTGAGGTGGCTGAAGTTGGCACCATGGTCTGCTGGTCTGTTGTGGGGTGTTTGAGACCCTCACATGGCAGTCAGGCTGAGGGTGCTGAGTGTGGCCTCTCAAGTTATTTGGAAAGTTCAAATTTTGTGGCAGATGCACACAAGAAGAGGCACCAGCTTTTGAGAAGACATCCTGGAATTGTTTGGCACAGTGAAAGAGAAGCATGGCACAGGAAATGCCAACTCAACAGGAACTGCCTGAGGTCTGGAGGCGCCTGGCTTTAGGGTGTTGCAATGGGGTTGTTGGAAGGGGAAATAGCTGTGATTTGGGCTTAGTGGGAGGATAAAACCTGAACTGAAGAAGTATGGGATTTAGGTGTTGGAGAGATGTCACAAGAAGCTTTTCTGGGGCCGGAGCTGCTCTGGGCAGGTTGGAACTGGCCTTTTCTTGGAGGATTTGTAGCTGCACCTGACTGAATAGTGGACTCTGGTTCCCTGGAAGGTGGGTGGCTCCCTCCAGCAGCCAGGCTGTGCTTGTGCCAGGCAAAGACTTTGCAGAAGCCAGCTGTGATCAGGGTGACTTCTCGAGGCTCACCTGCCTGGGGTGGGAACTTTGATTTTCCAGGACTTATTTTTTCTTTTCCTAGCTGTTGATAGCTGAGGCTTCAAGTCTTTCCTGCAAGGAGAAGTGAACACTGTAGATACACCTGGTCTTGATTTAACCTGAAGCTAGTGGGCTTTTAGCTGCCTTTTCTCCAGCCTGGTGGTGCCATGAATGACTCAAGGGTGTTGAGAGCTCCTCAGCAGGTGCTGGGGCCCAAAACCTGTCAGTGCAGGCCATGGTTAGAGCAAGAGAGCATTGCTGCCTTTTAGCATCACATGCTTTCTGCCTGTGCTAGAGCCTTCCAAGAGAGTGAAGGCACAAGTGCCGGAGTGTTGGACGTGTGGTGGGCGCTCTGGAGCACAATCCTCTGCTCTCTGCTCCAGCCTGGCTGGAAAGTGATTCAGACCAGCGCTGCAAGAGGAAACATGGAGCTCCTGGAGCGAGTTCAGTGGAGGCTGTGAAGATGCTGACAGGACTGGAGCATCTCTCTTATGAGGACAGGCTGAGCGAGCTGAGGCTGTTGAGCCAAACAGACAAAAAGAGGTGGCTGAGAGGGGCCCTCAGCAGTGTCTGTCAGTGTCTGCAGGGAGGGGTCAGAGGCTCTGCTCCCTGGGGCCCAGCAATGGAACAAGAGGAACGGGCAGGAGCTGATGCCCAGGAAGTTCCCTCTGGACATGAGGAAGAACTTTCTCTGCAGTGACTGTGCACTGAACAGGCTGCCCAGAGAGCACGAGTCTCCCTCCCTGGAGACATTCCAGAGCTGTCTGGGAATAATGCTGTGCCATGTGCTCTGGGGTGATCCTGGTTGAGCAAGGAGGTGGGATCAGGTGACCCACTGTGGTCCTTCCAACCTGACCCATCCTGTGAAACCACATCAGCCCGGTGTTTGGCACCAGGTAGGATGGTGGATGGTGGGGCAGTAGCCAGCTCTGCAACAGCACTGCCAGGGGAGGCATGGCCTGGAAGTGACTCAGAGGACTGCAGAGCTCAGCACCTGCTCCCACCCCTCCTCAGACAGACACTGAGCCCTTGGCCGGCCAGCTGACCATGTGGGCAGGATGTGCCCTGGATGAGCCTGGGAGGGAACGTGCAGCTCCAGGTGTGCAAGGTGCCCAGGGTTTGCTGGGGAGGTAGAGCAGAGAGATGCTGAGGAAGTAGCAGGGAGATGTTCTGATGGGTTTGCACTGTTCTGTCTTGGCACCACCTCTCCTGGGTGTGCCCCGAGTGGGGTCTGGCAGGGCCAGCGTGGGTGGGAGGTGGCCATGGGTTCTCCTGCTGCCTCCACATGCAGCACCTGGGCCCTCCACGATGTGTCTTTGCACCTTGCCTCATAGTGCAGAAGGTGTGGTGTTTTCTGGGGGAGGGGAGGGTTTCTCCATATTCCTGGAAGAGGAGGAGAATCTGGCTGAGGCATGGTCTTGTCTTGCTGCTGGAAGCTCTGTCAACATGAGCCAAGAAAAATGGATGGACAGTGTGGCTTTCCTGAGATAGGATCCCAGAGTGATTTGGGTTTGAAGGGACCTTTAAAGATCACCTTGTCCAACACCCTTACCGTTGGCAGGCACATACAGGCACCTTCCACTAGCCTGGTTTGCTCCAAGCCCCATCCAGCCTCACCTTGAACATTCCCAGGGATGGGGCAGCCACAGCTTCTCTGGGTAACCTGTGCCAGAGCCTTACCTCTCAGATCATAAAACATTTCTTTTTTAAGTATTTTATCTGTAAGTTTCCCTCTATGTTAGAGCTTGGACAGGGTTTGGCAGGGACTCAAGTGCCACATGGCAGGAGATGCCTGCAGAAGTGCCAGGCTGGGCAGTTTTGGGGATGGTCCAGGCAGTGGTGGGAGGCACCCAACCCGAGGTGCTTTGGGCTTCTGCCTGCCCCACAAAGGGCCATACTCTGGTGCAGACACAGCTGCAGAGCCCCAGGGCTTCCAGCACTACCATCTCTGCCTTCTGGGGGGCAGGGCTGCAGAACAGCCAGCAGTGATGTATCTGGAGCAGGTCACATCAGTTCAGTGTCATCCTGTGCTGGGACAGGGTGACAACCACCTGGCTGCAGTGAGGAGGAAGGCTTGGCCACCTCAGCCCTGCATGCTGCTCACCAGAGCAGGGGGAGGCTGAGGGGGCTCCTGTGCACATGCCAGGAGCCGAGGTCCCTGTCTGAGCCAGGCCTGATGGCTGTAGTGGCAGGTGATGTGGTGCCCATGGGCATGTGTCAGGATGGGGCTCAGCATGAGCTGGGGGCACCGCTTGCCCTGGCAAAAGCTGAATTCTGACCTCTCCCAGTGACCCAGCTGGAGAGTGTTGGGGCAGGGCACCAAGGCAGAGTGGTTTGGGCAGAGCAGTGGGTGGCCCTGGCAAAACCAGCAATGAACTGGAGTCTGTAAAGACCTGATCTGCCATTTGTGGCCACAAAATCCATCTTGCCTGCAACAATTTTTGTGCTTCCTGGTGGAATTGGGTTGGACTCAATGATCTTGAAGATTTCTTCCAACCTAGTAATTCTGTGAATTCTGTTCTTAAGCAATTGATGTGGCTTGGCATCATCTTCAGGTTGAGCATGGATGTATGTCCATTACATAACCAAAATTTGGGGGAAGAGTGTGTCCAGTGAAGCTTTTGCTTGTCTCCATCTGAGTGCTCACTGCTTTCCTGGCAATGGAGCTGTGGATAGCTGGACCCTTCAGGGAGTTAAAAATATGATGAAGGCACCAGTATCAGGGATGGTTGGAGAAGGAAGAGAAAACTCTGTGTTTCCACCAGTGAGAGTTGCTTTCAGAGAAGAGCTGATGCAGGATGAGCTGATGGAAGAGGAGCATGTGCAAGATGCTTCTGTGGGTGCTGGGACAGCAGGGAGCACGTGTGAGCCATCCTGGAGCTCAGTGCCTCGCACTCCCTGCTCAGCCTCTTTTGGACAGCTCAAGTAGTTTTATTTTGGCCCTTGGCCATGGACAGCCTGGAGGCAGGTGCTGCAGTGGGAGAGGGGTTTGGGGCAGGCAAGGCTGTGGTCACTCAGACATGCTCTGTCCTACCTGTGGAAGAAAGAAGAGGTGACTTCTGGCTCCTGCAGATCATCCCTTCCTGGAAGAAGGTTCTGTCACATGGGAACCTTACCTTGTGTGGCTTTTGCACAGCCACATGATCCCATGATGTGATCTGGAATTCCTGAGGGAAGTGCCTGCAGCTTCCAAGAGCTCTTCAGCAATTGCTCTCCGTGCCCACCGGTTCATAAAGCTCAGTTGTGTGTTGAACCTCAGTCCACAGGAGAGGTCCCCTGTGGATCCCTGCCTGCTTCCCCTCCTCTCCCATGCCCTTCCTCACAGTTCTTTCTGGGTGCAGCGTGGCCTGAACCCCCCTTGGCTGCTGAATGCAAAAGGGATGTGAAAAAGGGAAGCCGGGTGTATTGCAGAGCCTTTGGAAGAGGTCAGGAAAACCCTGGGGACTTGCTGATGTGGTGCATCTGGAGGAGCCACAGGCTCAACCAGGCACAAAAATCTGCTTGTGACAAAACAGCATAAACTGACTTCCTGTTTTGAGGCTTGTGTTAACTAAGAGAAAAGCCCTCAAGAAAGTGAGGATTTTAAGGTAGTAAAGACCTGCTAGGATGAGTTCGGCCATGGTTGGTGGTTGCTGCAGGTTTCTGGCACTGATGGCTGAAATCCCCAAGGCTGCACTGTGCTGGCTGTCAGACATTCTGCCCTACTGGCTCCTCAGCATTCCACAGCATGGCCTCCCCCCAGGATGTATTTCTGGGCCATAAGCCTGGTTTAGTGCCAGGGAAGCTGCAGGGCTGTGCCAGCTCCTGTCTCCTGCCCCAGAGCTGCCACATCACTGCTGGCACTGCCCGTAATGTCCCTGTGCTGCTCCACCTGGGCCCATCCTGCAGCCTTGGGATTTGAGCAGCACGCAGGGACGTGGGGTGGGCTTTGCCACACTGTTGGAGATGAGCAATGAGCTGGTTGAACATTCTGTGTGTGTTAAGGAAGTTTTGGAGATGCAGAGCTGTGTTACTGTAATGTATCCTCCCCTCACTGTTATCATGGGATGGCCTCGGCACTCGGGAATTTGGGAGGGTTGGATCCTTACTGTGGCAACACCGGAGCTCCAGCCGAGGTGTGAGAAAGTGATCTGCACCCCGGGCAGCAAGGAAGGAGTCAGGGACAGGACTCCAGGAGTGGCTGGAGGTAGAAAAGGGGAGCATCCATCCTGAAGATGAGCACATGGCTGGTAGTCACAGGGTCTCCCAGTGCTGTAATTTTTCCTTATGCAGTCCTTTTGTTGTAGTTTTTGTTAAGGTTTAATAAACCTTTAACATTTTAAAAGTGAGGGTTGTTTTTCACAGGACCCCTTGGTGTGGTGCTGGGCTCCTGAGCTCGTGAGCCAGCAGCAGCAGGGGGATGGCTCCTGCTCACTGCTCCAGCAAGCCTGCCCCGTTCCACAGCAAGGCTGGGCTGCTGCAGCCCCGCAGGGATCCTGTGCATCTGATGCATGAGCTCAACAGACATTGGAGCTGCACTGGGAGCAGTTCTGGGGGCAGGAGGGAAGCCCTTTGTGATCCCCAAGTCACCCAGCACAGGCAGGATGCAGAACTGGGTACCAGTGCAGACAGCTCTCATTTGAAAGCAGAAGTCAGTCTGGTTTCAGCTGGGCTGTAAATGATCCAAAGCACAAAACATGCTGGTGCCCCCAGGACTTGCAGCTGGAAAGGAGCTGGAGCAGGAGGTGGCTCCTGGGTGGGGAGCCCAGCCTGGAACCAGGGGGTCCTTCCAGGGCTGCAGTCACTGCAGAGGAGCAAGGGCTCAGCCTCCTCCCACAGAGGGCTTGAGAGAGCTGGGATGGGCAAGCCCCCAGCCCACTGGGACACCAGTGAGACCAGGGCTGAGGGTGGCAGCTCGCTGCAGGGTTGGGGCCTGCATTGGGACACCCAGGGCACCTGTGGCACTGGCAGCAGCCAGTGTCATGGTTTAGGAATGGTATTCCCCAGTTTGGAGCTCCCGCTGCTGTTAGGTGTTGGCTGCCTCTTGCTTCCCCTTCCCCCTCCAACTGGAAGCACAAAAGGCAAAGATGATGGGTTGAGATAAGAATAATTTACTAGAGACAGCAACGAGATAAGAAGACAATAAGCAGCACTACTAATAACAAAAGTGTACTGGGAGAGGGTGATTTACATGCAAAATGCTCACCAAGCCTGGCACAATGGCACAATGGCTTCCTTCTGCCCACCAGGCTTTCTCCCAGCTGGAAAAGAGCAGCATTCCTGTAGTCCTGGTGGCACCGTGTCTCCTGGGCTCTGTGCTCCTGGCACCTGCGGGAGGGTTGCACCGTGCCCAGGGCAGGGCTGGCAGAGCCTTTGGGGTTAAACCAGGCTGTCAGCCTTGCTGCCCTGCCAGGGTGAGCTGGCCCCATTCCTCTACCTGCTTGATTTATTAAAAAAATATGGATATTGATTTATTACCAATATCCAACTGTGACGGACAAAAACTCTCTAACAGTTTAAAGTTAGAAAGTGTGTGTTTATTGTGTGTGGGATAGCTCCCAAATCCACACCGCAGCTTCCAGGTGATTACAGAGCCCTTTTATCCATACAAGTATTGAATAACCAAAATACAAATACATATTCATCATTTTGGTACATCCCATTCCTCACTTCCTATGCTAATCACTCCAAAAGCTGTTTAAGCATGTGTGGTTTGTTCCTTGATATGGGTCGGTGTCCCTTTCATGGGGAGGGGTCCCAAAATGAGGAAGTAAATGAAGTCTTCCTCATTCTGACCTTTCTACCTTTTCAATGCAAATATGACAAATGAACTCTTGGTAGAACTCCCATTCCTTGTCTTCAATTGGTTTCAGAACAGAGGAGGCCACAATTGTCTTACGTTCCTAAAAGCAATTTGTCAGTTTGTGTATTCTTCATTATAAACCCAGCTAACTAAACATTGTGCTGACAAGCAATCAGTTATCAGTTAACTACTAACTCTTAACTTCATCAAGGCCTACTCATTTATTTTAATTAACTCTAGTAAGGCTTATCTCTAACTAAAATCTTAGTTCCTCTAAAATCTCTAAATTCCTTAAAATTTACGTTTCATGCTAACGCTGTCTCACCTTGTTCCCTGCAGTCAGGACAGTTCAATGAAGACATGATCCCGACAGTGGGTTTCAACATGAGGAAGATCACCAAAGGGAATGTTACCATAAAGGTAAGATGCAGTTGTTACTGCTGGTGAGGGCTCTTGGGATGAAAGGTGAAGGTGAGGGAGGTGAAAGAATTCCAGGGATCCCAGCTGCAGCGAATAGGATAGGGTAGGATAGGATAGGATAGGATAGAATAGAATAGAATAGAATAGAATAGAATAGAATAGAATAGAATAGAATCATAGCAGCATTAAGGGTGGAAAGTCCCTTTAAGATGGAGTCTGACCAGGGGTGCCATGTTCACCACTAAACCGTGTCTCCAAGTGCCACATCCAGGTGTTTTGTTAACATTTCCAGGGAATGTGATTCCACCACCTGGAAGTTAAAGATTTGCCCTCTTAGGGTCCTGCAGGTACCCACCAGAGGTGGTGGGAAGGGCTGTAGGAGATCCAGACTTGTGCAGTGAGAGCTGGTCTGGGCTGCAAAGCTGGAGGTTTCCTTGGATCTCTGGCTTGCTGGGAGGAACTTATGGATGTGGTCACCTTGCTGAGGGTGGTAGTGCTGGGGAAAACAGGTCATGGCTTGCAGTGGTGGTCTCTGCCTTGAGAGCAAAGGAGGAGGAGGGTTCTATCTGTTCTGGACTTTCCAAGGGCCCGGTGTTGTACTGGGAAATAGCTGTTGGACAGGCTTGAAAAGCTGGCTGGGGGATCTCTGTCTGCTGCAGGAGCACTTTTGAGAGTGTGCAGAATGTTCTTAAATGGGATGTGCCTCAGGGAAATGGCAGGAGGTGTGATGGGCATGGGGAGGAGCACCCAGCTTGGGCCAGGGGTTTCTCCATGCCAGCAGAGGCACACCACAGGGGGATTGATTCAGCATCCTCCAGCTCCCCTTCCTGAGATTTCTTCCTCCTTTATCAAGTCAGGAGCCTCCTCCTGAGGTTTGAGCTGAAGAGGAGAGGATGGGGGTGGGTTTGGTGCATGAATGCCCCAGGTGGCCACATGGAGGGGGAAGAGTGCTGGGCAGGAGTGTAGGTGCTGGGTGGGTGCCAGGGTAACCGTGCCATCTCCCTGTCACAGCTCTGGGACATCGGGGGGCAGCCGCGGTTCCGCAGCATGTGGGAGCGATACTGCCGTGGAGTGAGTGCCATCGTGTGAGTACCCAGAGCCCTGCTGTCACCCTGCTGCTGCTGGGCCGTGCCAGGGGTGCTGGGGTGCCTTTGCTGCCCGAGCTGGACACCCGTGGCAGGAGTTGGAATCACCGAGTCAGCATGGAGTCACGAAGGCTAAGATCATAAAGTCCAGCCATTAACCCAGCACCACTGTATTCACCACTAGACTGTTCCCAGATGGTTTTTGAATACCTGCAGGGATGGTGACTCTACACTGCCCTGAGCAGCCTGTGCCAGGGCCTGGCCACCCTTTTAGGGAAGAAATTTTCCCTAATACCCAACCTAAACCTCCCCTAATCCAACCTGAGGCCATTTCTTCTGGTCCTGTTGCTTGTTTCCTGGAAGGAGAGCCCGACCCCCACCTGGCTCCACCCTCCTGTCAGGGAATTGGAGAGACTGAGAAGGTCCCCCTGAGCTTCCTTATTTCCAGATACTTCCCTTGGGGACTGAAGTCTACATGGGCTATGAGCAGAGGACAGCCAGGTCCCTCCAGCTGTTCAGAGCCTCCTCTTCCCTTCCAGCATCCCTCAGTGCAGCTCTGTTGCTCAGATCTCACCCTTCCAGGCTCCCATGCATCCTCTGTGCTGGCTGCTCACTGCAGGGGCTGAGCAAACCCGGTCATGAGGCTCAGCTCTTTCCAGAGGAGAGGCTGGTTTCCAGGTCAGGATGTTTATGTGCTGCCAGATAAATCTTGTGCTGAGAGCAGGAGTCTCACCCGCTACTGAGTCAGCAAATCTGAGTGTCCCTGGGTGTCCCCTGCCTGCAAACAGTGCAGGAAAAGCAATCCCAGGGAGTCCAGGCTTGGGGTGAGCGTGGCAAGGCACTCATGGGAAGCAGCTTGCCTATTCCAAAGGACAAATACTGATCTTGGGACACCATGCTGGGATTACTTAAACCCAGTCAGAAAATGAGGTTTATGGGATCTTTCCCAGGTGACCATACCCTGAGATTTGGAGGGCTGCTTTCTGTGCTGCCCTTCCCAGCCCTAAGCCTTGGCAGATGAGGAGGAGTGTGGTACTGCTTGTTCTGCATGTTGAGACAGTGGTGTCTGCTCCTGCCCTTGCAGACTGTCACCATGGTGGGACATGGCTTTGGACCTGCAGGAGTGTTTTTATTACACTTTTTATGACAATGAGCTTTGCTGGAAATGATAAAATCTCTTGTCTTTTCACTCCTTTTGCTGCCTCCTTTCATAATGTTGTAATTTTGGCCCATGTGGTTGTCAGGAAGCAGAAGGACCTGTGAGCATCCAGGTCACACTCCAGGCCTCGTCACATCGAGCTGTGTCAGGTGCCTTTCCCTTTGCTCTCAGCTGCCCCCCATGCCCAGCATGCCAAAGGCTGGGGCAGTCCCTGGGGGTGGTTTTCCCTCTTGGCACAGCGTTCCCATTTTCCTGTGTTAAGTACTTCAGTAGTTAGGAGCTCTTTTCCTATTTTTAAATAATTCCCCAAAGCCTGATGAGCTGGTCTTTCTCACTCCTTCTCTCCCAGCTTCTTGATCTTTGAAATCAAGGCTGCTTTGATCAGTTCCTCACCCAAGTTTTGGCTTCACTGACGTCATTTGTAGGATAAAAGTTGGCCTTTAAGAACAAAGTCCTTTCCCAAATCTCCTCTTTTGCTCAGAGGAGCATTGGTGGCCACCGGCTTCACATCCACGTCCTCCATGGCCCCTCCCAAACTTACCCCATTGATGGGATGAGGAGATCCTTCCCCTTCTTGTCTCATTGTCACCTCTGCATCCTCAGCTTCTCCTGCCTTCTCTGCTTGTCCTGAGTGTTTCCATGGCAGCTGCCATGTGTGTGTTGTTGGAGACAATGTGTGTCCTGCAGCTTCTCCTGCCTGGCTTCCCTCGCCCAGCCTGGGGCTGTCAGCAGGGTGACAGCTGCAGGGACAAGGATGAGGTGCTGCCCCACTCCCCTGGGAGACATGAGGGGCTCAGCTCCACAGCCACCCTTGGGAAGAGGTGGAAGGATCCTGTTACCAACCACCCCCACGTGCTGGCCCAGTTCCCGGGGGGGGCAGTGAGCTGCTGTGGGACGAGGTTTGGGGGTGGCACGGAGACCTGGGCCCCTGTGCTCAGGGCTGTCCCTTCCCTTGCAGGTACATGGTGGATGCTGCTGACCAGGAGAAGATAGAAGCCTCTAAGAATGAACTGCACAACCTGCTTGACAAGCCACAGCTCCAGGGCATCCCGGTGAGCTGGTGCCTCCCTCGTGGTCCCCGGGCTGGGCACTGCCAGGGCTCGCAGAGCAGATTCAGTGAGGAGCTCTCCTTCCTTGCAGGCATCACTTCCCTGCTGCACTCCTGAGGGAGCCAGCTGGGACAGTGGCACTTCCTAGGTCAGAACTGGGCCAAGCAACACAGAGGGACCTTTAGGGCAGAGAGCACAGGTCAGGTCCCCTGGGGGAAATCTGTCCTCTCACATGGATTTGCACCTGATTTGTGGTGTGACAGAAGGTGCTGTCTCCTGTGAGAGGAGCTGCTGGGCTGTGACACGTGCAGGAGGTGGGACATGTCACAGGTAGGCTGTTCTGCCAGGTGGGCTGTGCACCAGCCATCCCAAATCAGCATCCTTTGAAAGGAGCTAACTGAAGATCTTGCCAAGGGTCCCAAATGCCCACTGCCAGCTAAATTAAGCTCCTGACATACCAGGCTGCAGTTGCAGGCCTCTGAAGGCTCTCTCTGAGAAGAAGCCTCCTGATGGGGACTGGGGTGGGGAGATGCTCATCCTGCTGAGCTGAGCCTGCCCAGTGCAGGCAGCCACAGCACCTCCCCTGTCAGGTGACAGTCACACTGCTCCGAGGGACAAACCAGTCCTGCTGGGAGGAACAGGGATGGCACAACCAGCTGATCCTGCCTTGGGCTGCCTGCCTGCAGAGTGTGCTCTGCTCAGCATCTAGGGCTTGCTCCTGCTGGATAAAGTCAGTGTTAGCCATTTCGTTTGATTTTTTTCCCCAGAGACAGCGAGAGGCTCCTGGGAGAATGTCCTGGGTGGCACAGCAGATGCTGGTGCCCTTCAGAGGGGATGTGCTGTGGGGCCATCTCCACACTGGGAGCAGGGAGTGCACAGGAGATGCTGTGTATGGCTAATTAAAGCAGTTAATTGAAGTGCTCTGTCGTCTGAGTGCTGCTGAAGGGAGTTCCTCTGTCTGGGACATCCTAGTGGAGTAGCCAGGGCTGTGTGGTGTCACGAGCAGCTCTGCTTCTGGCTGGCAGAAGCCAATTCCTGCCTGGTCTGCTGGCCGGGTGCTTCAGGTGTCCCCTGTCCTGCCCTGCAGGTCCTCGTCCTGGGGAACAAGCGGGACCTGCCCGGTGCCTTGGATGAGAAGGAGCTCATTGAGAAGATGTAAGTGTGCCAGTGCCCCCCCGGGCACGGGGGGTGTGACAGTGTGACCCTGGGGCACGGGGGGGTGTGACATTGTGATCCCTGGGCACAGGGACTGTGACACAGTGTGACCCCAGGCACAGGGGGTGTGACACAGTGTGACCTGCAGGGACTGTGACACAGTGTGACCCCGGGCACAGGGGGTGTGTGACACAGTGTGACCCCAGGCACAGGGGCTGTGACACAGTGTGACCCCAGGCACAGGGGGTGTGTGACACAGTGTGACCNGGCACAGGGGGTGTGTGACACAGTGTGACCCCCCCCACAGGGGGGGTGACACAGTGTGACCCCAGGCACAGGGGGTGTGTGACACAGTGTGACCCCAGGCACAGGGGCTGTGACACAGTGTGACCCCAGGCACAGGGGGTGTGTGACACAGTGTGACCTGCAGGGACTGTGACACAGTGTGACCCCGGGCACAGGGGGTGTGTTACACAGTGTAACCCTGGGCACAGGGGGTGTGACACAGTGTGACCCCGGGCACAGGGACTGTGACACAGTGTGACCCCTGGGCACAGGGACTGTGACACAGTGTGACCACGGGCACAGGGGGTGTGACACAGTGTGACCCCGGGCACAGGGACTGTGACACAGTGTGACCCCTGGGCACAGGGACTGTGACACAGTGTGACCCTGGGGCACGGGGGGTGTGACACAGTGTGACCCCGGGCACAGGGACTGTGACACAGTATGACCCTGGGCACAGGGGGGTGTGACACAGTGTGACCCTCAGGGACTGTGACACAGTGTGACCCTGGGGCACAGGGGGTGTGACACAGTGTGACCCCGGGCACAGGGGGTGTGACCCACGGGCACAGGGGGTGTGACACAGTGTGGCCCATCCCTGTTCTGCCCTGTCCCCACCAGCACGATGGCCTGTCTGGGGTGGCACTGTGGGCCTGGGGTGGGCTGGCAGAGTTGAGTGGCTGAGGATGTCCAAGGTGACACCTTGTGGAGACACAGAGGAGATGGAACCACCAGTGCCAGGCTGGGTCCCACGTGCCACATGGTGGCGTGGGGGCCTGGCACAGCGTGGCACTGGCTGCTGGAGCTGCTCACTGGGCAGTGGGACTGGGCTCCTCCACTGGGGGGATCTGGGATGCTGCACTGACTCCCAGCATTTCCTCCCCTTCAGCCACCTCTCAGAGCACCTCTGGACTGTGGGCTCCTGTGCAGCTCCCATGCTGCTCCCAAAACCTCCCTGCCCCATCTGGCTGCAGAGCTGGGGGAACCTATGGAATTTGGTGGCCAGGGTCTCTGTGGGATCGGGTCCCTCCTGCCCTGTCACACAGTCCCACCCCAGACCTGCCATGGTGCCCTCACCTGGCCCACACCCAGCTCCTGGAGAGCCTGGGGAGCTGCTGCCCCTCCACTGTGCCCTGTCTCAGAGAGTCCAGAGAGACCCTTCAGGGGCTGCCCAGGGGTGTCTCCCATGGCCACCCCACACAGCTCAGAGGCTGCAGGCAGCACTTGCTCCCTCCCCACAGGAACCTCTCTGCCATCCAGGACCGAGAGATCTGTTGCTATTCCATCTCCTGCAAAGAAAAGGACAACATCGGTGAGTGCTGTGGGCTGGGGGGCAAGGGGGGCAGCCCATGCCCACGTGTTTGCCCGGGTACAGGGGGAGGTGACAGCCAGAACAGGCTCTAAGCGTCCCCTTGCCTCTGCAGACATCACCCTACAGTGGCTTATCCAGCACTCGAAGTCCAGGCGAAGCTGAGATCCTGCGGGCCTGGCTCGGATTGGGAAGATGCCATTGTCCAAGCCCACGCCCCTCTCTCCTGCTCTGTCCCTCCAGCTCTCTCTCTAGATGGGTATTTTTAGGGGACCCCAGACTCTGCTGACATTGGGGCAGAGTCCTTGTTTTTATTGTAAAGGAGATGTCTGACTGCCCTCCTCTTCCCCTTTCCTCTCCTCCCCCTCTCTTCCTCCATTTTGGCACTGTTCTGTTGTTGTCTGTGTATACAGTATATATATATGTATATATATTTTAATTTTTTAATTTAAGGGATAGTGCTGTTATTAAATTGGGCCCTGTGAACAGTAGGAAAGCTGGGGCTCCCCAAGGCCAGCCAAGGGTCAGTGTTGGGATGAGGAGGGTGGTAGCAGAAGGCAGCCCTTGGGGATGGGGCTGTGCCAGCTGCAGGCAGGTTCCCTGGGGCTCCCTTTTCCCTTCTCTGGGTGTCCTGCTGCTGCCTCTAGGCAGAGACCACCCTGGGGGTGTTGGGGGTGCCCACCATGCCCTGCCTGCCTTGGGCTTGGAGAGGGGAGTGTGTCAATGCCACCTGCAGGCTCCTCACCCCTCCGGGGGACAGGGATTAGCCACAAGCCACTGCCATCAGCCTCCCCCTGCTGCCTCCACTTCCCTAACCCTTCTCTGGGGTCCAGGGCCACTTGTCCCCCTGCCCCATGTGTCCCCTGCTCTTGTGCCTGGGCCAGATCCTGCCCACTGCCAAGCCTGGTGGCTCAGGGGATGACCTGGGGCACTGGTGCCAGTGCTGGGGGCCCAGCAATGCCAGCAGCCCCTGGGGGAGCTGGGGCTGGCATCTGCCTCCCCCTGTCCCCATGTAACCTGCCTCAGCCCCATGTAGCCCCTCAGGACAGCTGTGCTGGCTCCCCACGTGCCAAGTGGCATCGCCTGTGCCCGGCTGGGGCTGCTGGCTCTGCCCTGGCCAGGGACATCCCTTGGGATGCCAGAGAGGGAGGGGCACATGGAGCCACCTGGAGACACACTCAGAACATCTGTGCACGCTCAGTGCTGCTCACCAGTCCCAGGGGTTGTGCCCTGTGCCTGCTCCCCGTGCCCTTCTCCCTGTGCCCTGCTCCCCGTGCCCTGCTCCTCATGCCCACCTCCTCATGTCCTGCTCCCTGTGCCCTTCTCCCCATGCCCTTCTCCCTGTGCCTGCTCCCCATGCCTTGCTCATGCCCAGCTCCCTGTGCCTGCTCCCCATGCCCTGCTCCCCATGCCTACTCCCCGTGCCCTGCTCCCCATGCCCTACTCCCCGTGCCCTGCTCCCCATGCCCTGCTCCCCATGCCCTGCTCCCTGTGCCCTGCTCCCTGTGCCACCCCTGCCCTGCTGCCCTGGCTGGGAGGCACGGGAGCAGTGGGGCAGGGGGCAGCAGGGCTTGTGGGGACGATGGTCAGGTCTGGGTGTGCACCATGGGGGACGGTGGGAGTCCTGTGGGGTGGCAAAGGCTGTGGCTGTCTGTGCCATGTCTGTGCCATGGGCTGGGGCTCTGAGGTGCAGCCTGGGGCCTGGCCACGTTGTTTGGGGCCAGTTTGGGGGCACTGGGCTGGCACTGGAGGGTGGGTGTGCAGGGGGGGCAGCTGCTGGTCCCAGTGCAGGGCTGGGGCACAGGGTGGACATGGTCAGGGGGGCTGCAGGGCCCCTCTCAGCCTCTTCCCCCTCAGCTCCAGGACATCAGGCCAGGAATTTACCTTCTGTTCTTGTTTTTGCAGAATTGCACAAAGAGAGGTTTCTTTTTGTTGTTTTTTTTTTTTTTTTAATTTTTTGCCCCCCCCCCCCCCCCCCCTTTTTTTTTTTTTTGTAAGAGATATTTTGACTCAGATTTGACCTCTGTTGGGAAATGATTCTTGTAACTGTACAATTTTTTTTGCCTCCTAATAATAAATTAACAATTTTGCGTTGCGGGTGTGGTTGCTGTCACGTTACTTCCTCGCCATCTGTGCCACCCATCCTTGGGGGCCCTGCCAGGGAGGGAGGTCCCTGTGCCCTGGGTAGCACTGGGCACCTGTGTGGCCGTGCTCACCCAGGAGGTGCTGGAGGCACATCTGATGCTTCCAGATGCTTTGCTTCCGTGGCCTGGGTGCCAAGAGCAGCTCGGACACTCCATCCGCAGCCATGGTTGCTGCTGGACCTTCATCTGCCCCTGCAGTGTCCCAGAACTGCTGCAGAGCCCTGCTGGGTTTGGGGGCCCTGCAGTGCTCCTGCCCCCTGTCCCCGCTCCCTCCTGGGGGCTGTGCCCGCTGCTGCAGGGCTCCTTCGGGGCTGGCTCCTTCCCGCTGTCCCTGGGAGCTGGTGGCCACCGCTGCCAGGTCCCACCGTGCCATGTCCCCAGGGTGGCCCGTGCCATGTGGGCTGCCCTGGCAGCAGGCTGGGAGCACTGCCACAGCCCGTGGGGCAGCGCTGCCTGCTGTGGAGAGCTCTGCTGCTCCAGGATGGTTTGGGTGAATGGAGACGAGGGATCTCTGAAGGCTGTTCTTGGGGTACAAGGTTTATCAGGGATGGAGTAAGGTCCTGCCTCGAGCTGCCAGACACAGCACGTGGTGAGGCTTGAGAGGATGGGAGAGGGGAGAGAAAAAAGGATGCTCTAGGAGAGGGTGAGTTCCAAGAGGAGGGGGAGTTCCAAGAGAATGTGTGGCCCCTCGAAGCCCCCTTTTCAAGGAGCTTCAAGGTGGGCTGGAACAAGGCTCGGGCCAATGGGGTTACAGGCACTTGATGTTTTAGGGGAGGGATACAGGTGTGGGGTGAACTGTACATTTTGGGGGGTGAGATGGAACAGTCCATTTGACCCCTGGACCCATCCGCAGGCAGGGGCATTGTCCGGCTAGCAGGGAGGACTGTTTTATCTTGGCTGTATTATTTATGAATAATTATATTTATCCATCCTTCCCAACAGCCTGCCCCCCTGCCCCTCCCCACGCCCGCAGCCCCGTGGGGCCACAGCACAAGCCTGGCTTTGTTCGCCCTTGGCCCAGGCTCAGGACGGAGCGATGAGGACCAGGCACATGAGAGGTGCCCTCCCCCACCCCCCAAAGCCTCCCGGGACCCCGCTGCCCCCCGGGACATGGGGCTGAAGGCATGGCCTGGGCTCTGAGCCCCCCTGGCTATCCCTGTGCCCAGACGAGACCCCTCTTCTCCCAAACTGTGGGGCCCAGCACGGGCTGAGGGGAGGAGGATGAAAGGAAAAACCCAGTTCTGTGCTCTGGAAAGAAAACTGGGGCTGTTGTTTCCCTGGAAACGGCTCTGTGAAAGCGGAGCGCGGAGCCCGGTGGGTGTTGCGCACAAAGGCCGCAGTGAGCCCCCGGCTTTCAGCGCCCCTGGCAACCCGCTCCCTCGCCCTGGCACTCGGGGCTGGGCCGGCTGCCAGCCCGGGACAAGGAGCTCTCACAGCTCCTCTGGATGGATGGGCTGCGTGGCCAGGCTGCCCTGGGGCAGATCCGTCCTGCCTGCTCCTGACCCCCCTGCTCCTGACCCCCCTGCCTTGCCCTGCCGGGGCCATGTGGGCTTGGACACCCTGATGCCCTGAAGCGTCCTCCTGGGCCAGTCCTGTCCCTGCAGGGGCACGTGGATGAGGGCCAGGAGCCCTGTGGGGCAGTTTGGGGGAGACGCTCTCACCCCAAGGGGTGCTGGGGGTGGTGGTGCCACATCTTCCCACAGCGCTGCACAGCAGCAGGGTGCAGCAGCAGCACCTTGGTTGTGCACATGGGGAACCAGCAGGCTGGGGGCTGCCTCAGCCCTGTGCTGGGCTGGCTGGGTTTTACTGAGTCCAGTTCAAGTCCTGCAAATCATCCCAAACCAAACACTTCAGTGGGAACCCTCTTCCAGGCACTGCTCAGCATCACCCCAGAGGGAGGGAGTAAAGGGGCTGGGGGCCTTTCCCCATCTCCCCTGGCTGCTGCCCGCTCTGGCACAGCTGCTTCCCTGCCCTCCTGCCCCCCAACTGCCCATGCCCACCCCAGAGCCCCCCGGTTTTAGGGAAGAGCCATTCCGAGGGGCTCGCAGGGCTCAGCCCAGCAGTGCCAGCGGCTGCAAGCACGGGGTGCTCTAGGTTACTGGTTTATTGAGCTCGTACAGGGCACGGCTGGAACCCGTGGGATACAGCCAGTTGGAGCTTTTCCTCTTGTGGAGGGGCTGGCAGGAGGGGAGGGGACGGGAAGAGGGCAGTTTGTGTTTGCTGTGTCCTCTGTGAGCCATCATGGTCAGCCTCTGTAGCTTCAGGTAAGACCTTTCCGGCACAACGCCATCTCCAGAGCAGCAGCCCCAGGGTGCCGGGACAGGAGGGTGCCGCTGTCCTCGCTGACCTTTGGGCAGAGGCAAGAGGGTCACCAGTGCAGCCACGGGGACTGGCATTTCAAGCCCCACCTGCCCAATGCTGGGTTTGAAGCCCACGGCGCAGCCCCCTGAGCTGTCTCTCTCTGCTCGTTCCACGTCCAGACACGAGTACTAATGGCAGAACAACGTTTGGTCTTGGGAGGAGGTGGTGAAACGATCACTACGGCTCCCCTGTGGCACTTAGCAGGGGGTGCCAAGGGCCAGGAGGGGTGGGGGAGTCTCCCGGGGCTTGTCGAAGAAGATGGAGGAGGACATCTCGGTTTTGAGCTTGCTGTCGGCGCTGCTCTCGCTGGAAGTGGTGTCGGGGCCGCAGCCCTCGCAGCAGCAGCAGCAGCAGTCCATGAAGGCCTGGCCCAGGGGACGACAGAGACACAAGAGCAGGACGGGCGTCACCGAGCACTTAAAGAACAGGAAGAACTGGTTGATGAGGTTGAGCAGATCCAAGGTGTGCTTAGACAGGTCGGGGGACATGTAGGCCACCACGATGTTGCAGACGTTCTCGGGGGTGGCGCAGAGCCCGTAGATGACGGTCAGGGCGATGATGGTGCAGTTGAGGTGCCCCTCGCTCTGGCCGTGCTTGGCGCCCCGGCACTCGCCCTTCCTGTCGGAGCCGCGGACGCGCCGCGTCACCAGCTGGCAGCTGACGGTGAACAGCACGGGCAGGCAGAAGTAGCAGCCGAAGTACCACCACATGCGGGCGTTCTGGTAGGTCAGCACCAGCGAGTAGATGGACTCGGGCAGGTTGGACGAGGGCTTCATGGCGCAGGACTCGGTGGCCGCGCCGGACGCGGGCGACGCGTCCCGCGCCAGCTGCCACAGCAGGATCTCGGGCACCGCCAGCGTCATGGAGCCCACCCAGATGACGGCCAGCTTGGCAATGATGGACTGGCACTGCTCGATGGGCC